AAATGGCTTTCGGAATAACTCGTGGTAGAAAGGCTACTTGATATTTTCTTGCTAATAGAGAATTTTTATGGCTTGCCTTTCTCTTTAGGTTGAAATAGCTTTTTGGTATAGAAAGGTAGATGTTTATTATCTATGGGAAGATTTGTAATGAAACTCTTTTCCATTCTAATATTATTCAGATGAAAAAAAAAAAAATTTGTTGAAACAAAATTTCCAAAACGAAATTATTTTCGATATTTGCAAGTCGGCCGAAGCATCAGTTGCACGACAAAAATGTAAAGACTTGTCTATTGTTCAAGTGACAAAATGTAAAGAGCTTAGTGTACACCAATAAAATATATAGACTTATTTTAAATATTATTTTTGGTCTTTATCAAAATGCTAAACGCATTTCTTTTTAATTTCTTCCCTCTGGATGCTTTCACATAAAATTTTGGTTTCTAGATAATCTCTGTCCTGAAAAAAAAAATCAATAAAATTGAACCCAACCTTTTTGAGAAAAGCGCGCACTATACTTTTCTGTTTAGGTTTTGTTGAAATTGTTAGTTTGATTTTTTTATTTACAAAAATTGTTCAAAGAGCACAATCTTTTTAACCAATAGAAAATATTTAACATATTGGTGGTTTTTTTGAGTGAAAGACAGATTTTCCATTCATATCATCCTGAGTGTTCATACATATTGGTGGTTATAATAAAGTTTACTGTTATATCAGCTAAATAATGTAATAATAGAGTAATCAAATGATCGAATAGCACAATAAATTGAACTAGATAAAAAAATTACGGAATAGTCATAAAAAGCTAAAAGTTAGTTTTATTAAATTATAGAATAGCACAATAATTTTTTTTTTCTAATATAGCTGGCAAAATTACTTTTCAAAACGTAAAAATAAAATAATTAAAAAAGAAATCAGTGAATATTTTCCGAATAGTACAAGATAGTGGAATCACTTTATAAAAAACGTGAAAAGAGATATTGGATAAAAAAATGAAAATTTAATGAAGGGAAATCGCTCATTATCTATATAGTATAATATATATTTAATGAAGAGAAAGGATGGCTCTTTAGCCTTTTTTTTTAATTTTATTAGATTTAAAGAGTGATCCAAATTTTCACCATCGAATTAATACTTTCAAAGTGAATATAGCCGTCTGTAATCCACTCAACAGATTTTTAATAGGTCTAAAATATGACACTACTTTGACTAACCAAATACAAATGGTTAAATAATTAAGCATATGAGAGAAATTAAATTCTGGTTAAACATATAAAACAACTCCTCCCCAAATAAGAACCATTAGTCCACCATCAGAAAAGTTATTAGTGGATTCGAATCTCAAGAATTTTTTATTAGACCAACATTTCTCAAGAATTTTTTATTAGACCAACATTTTTCTCTCTATGCAGGAAGATCATTTTCTTTTTCTTTCATCAGATGCTTCATAATTGAAAAATTTTCCTCTATTTTATTTAGAAATTTTTTTTAAAATGTCACATGCACCGTACCATTTTATAAAAATGTCATATTTTTAAATGTTTTGCAAAAATACCACCATTTTTCTTGCATATCCCCAGATTATCTACATTATAAACTGTCAATTTTTTTTTATTCTCTTTGAACCCAGAAACATTTTTTTCCCCTTTTCTCTCTCTTTCATAAGTTTTTGTTATTTTTATTTTTTTTCTCTCATAACTTTTTGTTTTTTTTGTCTATCTCATAACTTTTTTTTTCTTTCTCATAACTTTTTGTCTTTTTTTCTTTTCTCTCTAAACGAGATCAGATCTTTTCTTCTCTCGTAATTGTAAAAATGGATT